TTTCTAGTATTTGATTGGTTAATACTGTTTAAATACATAAAATTGATTTTTTTTTGTGTCCACTGATGGTATGCATTTAGACAGTATCAACTGTATTTCGAAAAATTAGTCTAATGCATGATTCAGGTTACAGATCTACTGATTCAAAATATTTCATGATATATTTCGAAATATTTCGTAATATATTTCAAAATATTTCGAAATTATTTTCAAAATATTGCGAAAATTTGATATTTCGTAATATTTTGAAATATATTGCAAAATATTTTGCTTATATTACGGTTTGTAAAATCTTACGTAAGATTATGCTATTATAAATTTGCTGATGCAGTAAAAGAACTATTTATATTATGTCATTACAAATACGTATTCATTTAATATTTGATTAATCAGTTTTATTATTATATACAAGTCTTATCAGCATCTATAATTGAGACGGAATTAATAAGTTACTAACTTTGGCTAGTATCAAAAACTTATCATTTCAGTTATTTTTCAAGTGTCTCAAAATTTATAAAAATAGCTAGTAAAGAAGAGCTCAGATGTGATTATAATATTTAAACCTATGCAATTACATTTTTGACACATAAAATGTGTAATAAATTAATCTATTTTAATATAACTAGTGCAAATAAAAATATTGATTAATATCAATATAATAAAGATCAATGCACATAATATGATTTTTGCTAATTACTAAATGTCAATATTATACAACTATATTAAATCAAAATTAATCACTTTTAGTATGTTAGTATGTTTATTTTTCCTAATTTTTTTATTTGAATTGAGATTGCATAGTCAGAATTTCTTATATCGCTTAAAAATATATTTTAAATTGCATGGATCTGGATACTCTAGATGTGGTATATAACTAGGCTAATGTGTAGCATTGTGAGTCCGGAGCAAAATATTTAAAATTTTAATTTTTTAAATAAATATATATAATACTAAAAAATTATATATAAAGCTAATTTTTTAAATTTTTAAAAAATACATATAATATTACATTGTATAGAGTAGTTAAATCTAAGTTATTTAAAGTAAAAAAAATAATTTATTTATAACTATATTTTAACTACACACACAATCTCTTTGATTTTATTAGGTGGCCCTGAAGTTCGGGTTGTCACTGCCGCTATATTTATTATATTTTTATATTACAAACCATTAACTTTAGTTATGGCAGTGATATTGATCACTAACCTGAGGCTGCATTAATATTGCTCACTAGAATGTCTAGGATTATGATGCGAAGATTGTATGTGACAAATTGTAAATTATTAAATTATGCAAAATTGGCCAATAAATTCAGAACAGTAGGAAAATTAGATGATTACTATTAAATATACAAACCGGTTAACTTCTTTAGCCAAAAAATTTTTGCTCACATATGTATGAAAATAAGCCAATTATTGTCAGAGTTAAGCAATCACTAAAGTGACTTTTAACATATACATCTTCGCAAACAACACACCACACTGCTGTGTATATATGTAAGTATTTATATTAAGATGTCGCTTTCCTTTTTTTTATTAGTCAAGTGATTGTAGAATTTTTTTATTTACGTTTTGCTATTCAAGCAATTATATACTTATTTCTTTGTTATTAATTTAATAAACTTTTAAATCACCTATTTGGAGATTACGATATCTAATCATATCTGATTTTACTTATACGGCCCCACCTCGATTTCCCAACTACAGCAGAGACAATCCAAATATGAGGGTCGTTTAAAGCCATGTACTCACGTGACTTTTTTGTGTAAATCAACCAACCGAAATTGTGAAATTTTGTTTATACGGATCAGCTCGAAGAAGTTAAAAAATAAAGAAAACGCAAAAAGATGAAAAATAGCAGTCTTAATCTATCTTAGGGCACTAATTAAAAATGTTGGGAAGAAAATTTTACATATATCACTCTTCTTATATCAACACTAAATATACCCTAATCCTAACCTTAATTTTAATTGAAACGATTAAAACGTCAAAATCACGTGGGTACATGGCTTTAGCCATCTCTCAAATATGGAAATGATTTTTATATTAAATTATCATTGTTTGGACCAATCAAAATAGTATAACCTGATTATTCGACTAATCAAATTACTGATTTACAAAATTTTAGGATTCAAAGGGATTTAAGAAATATATTGTAAAGCAAAGTGTGAGCTTCTATTTTCTTAAAAATTTTTTTACATTTGTTAGAAAGAATAAGGCACATGAACCTTTCAAAAAAGTATTGTAAAATAACAAAAAATTCATTATCAATTGTGTAATAGCTTTGTGTAATAATCTACTGTCTCTGCTGTATTTTCCAACACAATTCTGATCGATCACATGTTCATGTGACTATTCACATTTTTATTAAACACTTCGCTATCTATTTTTATGCTTTTTACAAGGTACACGGGCTCTTCGAAAAGTATATGATAATTATGCGATTTCAGATAGTAAAAAATTGAGTATAATCTACTCTGTCAAACACGTGAGCCGCAATTTGATAGTATGCGGAATGTGTATTTTATTAGGGGATTTGGGTTTAATGATAGTTGGGCATTAAGGAAATATGATTATTAAAAATATTCGAAATTATTGTTCATTATCTTAATCAAAAATTCTATTCAATTTCTTTTATTTATTAATTATAATCGATTTAGATATAATACATTATAACTTGTGACAAAATATGAAGTTATAGAATTTCCCATTGCATGATTATGACATAATTTTTAGATATTAATAAAAATTACCGTAACATCAGTTATTAGGCCTACAAAAAGTTCTTAAATTTTACTTAAAAAAAATTCTTTACTATATAAATTATACTCAATTGTAACATACCCTAAATATTTTTTATCTTTAGAATCATCCTCGTTATAATAAAGAAAAAATATTCACTATAGCTTATACCAAGAGAATAATAGTACACATACTTCGCTTTTGCTATATTGAGTTGAAGTTTAATAATTCTGTTTTTCACAATCTTACATTGTGTTTCAACGTAAATTACTATGTTATAATTGTCGTGACTAAAGTTGGGATCTGACTAGAGTTGAAATTTCAGTTGCCTGAAGTTGGAACTGACTGAAATTAGCTCCTGAAATTAGATCATTCTGCATGCATTAGTTAGCTGTTTTAGGCAAGTGCCAACTTCAGATATCTGAATTTCCAACTTCAGGCAGATGCCAACTTCAGGTACCTGAAGTTTCGACTTCAGGCAGATGCCAACTTCAGTACGACATAATCATCTGCATTTTGATATAATTTTATATCGAATCTTCATCTTCATAATGTAGAATCTCCACAATATTAAATCTTCACAATATTGTATCAAATCTTTACAATCCCGAATCTTCATAATATCGAATCTTCATCTTTATAATAATCTTTACTAAATCGAGATGCATTGAATATTAGGAAGTAATACTTTGCATAGATGGTTTCAAAAATAAGACAAATAAATAATAATCAAATATAATATTATCTGTGCTACTATCAATATCTTAGTTTTAGCTATGTATTATTTATTTCCTGTTTTGTATTTTACTTTGCCACCGTACGCTTAATTTGGTTATTTTGTATTACTTAGCCTTTATTTGTAGTAAATTAGATATGGCATTGAGAAGTACATATAGAAGATATGATGCATTGGGCACAAAAGATTGAAAATTTTTGTTATAATATAGTAAAATAAGCTAAAATGTATCTAAAAAAATTGAAGTAAATTATATGTAAATGAGATGTAAATGAGATGTATCTCAAAAATAAAGATGAGAATAAGAAAAATATAAAAAGCCTCTGGTTGTTTTCAATAAAATTCTGCAAAGTTCATTTTAAATATAAATTCTTGTCGCGGCTGATGCTGGAAACGGCTGAAGCTGGAAATCAGGGACCCTGATTTAAAAATATAAACCCTGCCAAAATCCACTTATACTCTTTCATTATAAAAACTAACACTAAATCCTAATCTAACCATGAAAAAAAAGCTAAAAAAATGCACCCCAAAAAATTTTGAAAATTTCATAATAAAATATTTAAAATTTCTAGCTTCAGCCGTTTCTAGCTTCAGCCGCAACAATTCTTGATTACTAAATGAAGATATAATAATAAAATAAAAGTGCAATTTAATAATAATTTATACTATTATTTCATAATTACATCATTGATAATTACCTCATAGCTTTTATATATATATCAAAAATATATTTCTTAGAATATCTAAAAAAAATAAGGAATATAACAAACAAATTAGAATGGAAGAAAATTTTATGTCAGAAAGTCCAATGATAGAAAGCCTAATGATAGGAAGCCCGATAAAAGGAAGCCTGACAGAAGAAAGCCTGATGGAAGAAAGTATGATAGAAGGAAGCCTAACAGAAGAAAGCCTGATGGAAAAAAGCACGATAGAAAAAAACCTAATGGGCGAAGCAAATGAAACAGGAGAAGGCTCGGTTTTACGAGATACTTTAAGAAAACGTAAAAGTAGAAAAAATGAATCTTCTCAGCGATGTGAAACTCACCTTGCACGCGAGCAAGAACTAAAATGGCGAAAAAGGGCAACAAAGACATTATATAAACTTGAAACAGACCTTATAGAACTTGAGACAAGCTTTACAGATGACAGCAACCAGTCAGAATTTGATGCGCGTGTGAATGAATTAGATGTATAAGATGATGATCTACAACGTGAATTTGATATATCTCAAGATTATACACCACCTTCTGCAGTTCTTGATGCATATGAAAAAGTTCTTTTGCAACAGTTTCGTAATAAAATGGGGAGGCTAAAACATACACTTTGTCCTATATGCAATGAATGTTTTCCGTCAATAAATCTTGCTGTGGGAGAATGTCGTCGCTGTTATTATGAGAAAACTTTGCCAAAGAAATTCTTATTCGATAACAATATGGATTCAGGAGAAGTACCTGAAGAGCTTCAAGAACTTATGAAAATTGAAGAGATGTTGATTGTGCAAGTTTTTCCCATTATGGTAGTTTATAGACTTCGTGGAGAGCAGTATGGATATAGAGGAAATATCATCAATTTTCCTCAAGATATAGAAGAATTTACCACTCGTCTCCTTTGGCATCCATCTTCATTGAATATGCTTATTGTACGTCAGCAATCCAATAGAGACCAAATGGCATTTAGGGATTTTAGAGTTCGTCGAAATAAAGTTACTAGTGTATTACATTGGCTAAAGGAGAACAATTATTATTATTCAGATATCACGATAGACAATGAAAATCTTCAATCTCTACCAGAGGACGGTTTTATTGATAATTAAATTCAAATTAATCAATTAATAGATGCCGAATTTAATAAAGAAAGTGAAGAAAATGTAATTACACATACCTTTGTACCCTTTTTGCCATCGGATAATCGAGAAGACATAGCTATAAATAACACAATAAATAGATTATTAAGTAATAATAATATTATTGAGTGGCCAAGAATTGATAACAATCCTATTAACGAATTTCAAACATCAGGATATATTGCACGCGCATTTCCAACTCTTTATTCAACTAGGCGTGCCGACCTTCATTCAGAACATATTAAAGACATAAAACCAGCAGAATATTTTAAGCATTTATTGCTATATAAAGACGGAAGGTTTGCTCGTCATACTCGTTGACGGTATTTCGCGCTTAATTCACAGATGAGATGGTGAGCACTACAAAAAGGAAGAGTATATGTTAAACAGAATTTTAATGATAAGCAGCTTACAGTTGCAGAAATACAGGAAATGATTGCTAATAGTGATATATATATGGCTGATCGGATTATAAGATTTGGTCTGGGCATATGTGGATCAAGATAGTTTTGGATTGCAAGACGTTGTGAGTTGTCAGATATGATTAGACAAATAGGTTTACAAGGTTTAATATTCTTCACATTTAGTGCTGCTGATCTACACTAGCCAGAACTTCATGTACTAATGCTGTCTAACGAAAATTATCGGCAAAACATCATTGACAATCCTCATCTCGCTACTTGGTTCTTTAATAAATGGTTCGAAAGTTTTTTTAAGGATGTGCTAATTAAAAAATGGAATTTGGAAGATTGGTGGTATAGATTTGAATGGCAACATCGTGGTAGTGTTCATTTACATAGAATCGGAAAGATAAAAGATGCTCCTAAAATTGAATAGAAGCAATTAAAAAATGATAAAGGCTTATTAAGAGAGATAATAAAATATATTGACTCTCTGGTTAGTATAGTTAACCCGAGACCTGATGCCCCCATTCCTAACCATCATCCATATCAAAAACATCATGAAGAATTAGATGATAACTTACAAGATTATATCGAGTTAGTCAACAAATTACAGCGGCACACACGATGTAGTTCTTCATATTGGCTTCGTAACCATAAAGGACAACAATCCTGCAGATTCAGATTCTCTAAAGAGGAAAGTAATTATACTTTCTTGCGTGATGATAATCATAGCCATCCTGAACTTGTAACAGCAAGAAATGACCCATATATTAATGCTCATAGCAGAATTTAACTTCAAAGATGGAGAGCAAACGTCAATATTAAACCTATTCTTAGTATTCACGTGGCCTTACAATATATTGCCAAATATGCAAGTAAAGCAGAACCACAATCAGAGGCCTTTACACAAATATTAGATCGAATACTTAATAATAGTAATACTACTGATAGATTACTTGGCCCAGTCCAAAAATTATTGCTTCATAGTGTTGCTAAACATGATATATCTTCTCAAGAAACTTGTTATCTACTTCTTGGAATCCCTCTTTATCATTTAAGCTGTGCCTTTATATCATTAAATCTTAATAAAGAAACATCTTATTGGCTTCATGATACAGATATTAGAGAAGATGAAAATTATAATAAAGTCAAGGATGCTAGATGGAGACTTGATCTACTTTAAAAATATATTGGGAAAGACCTTTCGAGTTAGAAAGTTTTTTATTATATAAGTTATATCTTACATATAAATTTACTAATAAATGATGAAAAAGATGTGAGAAAGAAAACATTATACGAGTTTGGCTACGACCATCACTATTGGGAGATAGAGAAAAATGAAAAGAATTCTGTCATGTAAAAGTTCTTCTTCATGTTCCTCATCGGGACATTTAGCTCCTGACTCAAGATAATACAATTTCATAGCCAGCCTTATATGATCGCTATTCGGAAGAAATTAATAACGATCCAATGGATATATTTGGCTCCCCCGTAGACAATGATGAAAGAAGAGAAATGATGGATGATGAAAGTGAAGAAGAAGAATTTGAAAATGAAGAAGAGAAAGAATGCCGATTTGACTGGATGCTTCTGGCAGAGATAGAGCCTAATTCAGTATTTGATAGTTCTTCTAATCTTGGGTGTCGTGATATCGATCGAAATCATAACTGGACTAACGATGCCAGGCAATATTATTCTGATATTGACCTTGGAGAAGCAAGTTCTTTCGTGCAAAGAGTATCTAATTGGAATAGTAAAATAGAAAAAAATGAAATTTCTAACACTAATGTTATAGATTATCAGATTCTAAATGATAAACAAAAGACAATTTTTAGGTGAATAGAGTTACATTACAACAGTATTCTTTCGGATTGTTAAGTTGAACCACTTAAGATTATCGTTATGAGAACTGCTGGTACAGGAAAGTCATTGCTAATCAGAGCAATCAGGTGTTGACTTCTTAAAATAGCAGGAGCCAGGTCCAATTCACCTGTATTAATACTTGCTCCATTGGGTATTGTGGCCTTTAATATTAATGGGGTGACAATTCATTCAGTTCTTTCTATTCTAATACCTATTGGTAATAATCTCGAAATAACCGATGAGCGATTGAAACATTTACAAAATAGGTTACAAAATATAAATTACTTTATAATTGATGAAAAAAGTATGATCAGACGTCAAATGCTTGCTCTGGTTGATTTGT